CACTTGAGGTCAGGGGTTCGAGACCGCCCTGGCCAACATAGTAAAACCTTGTCTCTCCTAAAACTACAAAAATTAGCTGGGTGTGGTGGTGGGCTCCTGTAATTCCAGCTACTTGGGAAGCTGAAGCAGGAGAATCGCTTGAACCCAGGAAGCAGAGGTTGCAGTCAGCCGAGACAGTGCCACTGCACTCCAGCCTAGACAACAGAGCAAGACTCTGTCTCAAAAAAAAAAGAACTCCTATTTGGAAAAGGAAAAATAACCCTACGGCATTGCAACACAGCCTGCAAAGAGAAAGCATTGATTGGTAAAGCTGTGAGGGGCTTTGAAGAACAGGTACCCTGTTTCTTCAGGGACCAAGGATGACCCTGTCTCCAAGAGGCTGTGAAAATGCTGCGTGGGTGGAGGCGTCCGCCCACCCTCTGGAGGCAAGAGCTCAAAGTGCATCGCAGGCGGAGCCACCCCATTCCCCTGCTCCTCTTGCCTGGTCGGGAGATGGGAGTGGTCCAGCCAGATGTGCACCTGTCTTTGTTTTCCATCACTGGTCTGGCCTCACCTTGATCTACTTCCAGTCCACTGAGGATGGCTATGATAGGTGGGTGACTTGCTGAGTCAAAGTATCTCTGTCTTTTCTGATTTAAAAGAGACTTTTTTTTCAAAGACTTAGCCCCTTCAGAGTTGAGACTTCCCATCAGTTCTTCTCCTCTCTGAAGGGGTCTCCACTCTCACCCTTCCTTTTCAAGGGGGTAGGGACAGGAGGATGGCCCCTGGCCTGGAACTGTCATGGGGTCTCCACTGGATCCCTTACTGAGGTGTGAGTGGCTTAGGCACCTCAGGGCCTTGTCAGGCCTTCTCCTTGTGCTGGCCTGCCCTTGCCTCCGCACTTGCTGGGGCTGCCATCCTTGATGCCTGGATGTTGCTGTTTTTCAAGCCCTGGCCTCAAAGTGCTGCTTGTTCCTCCTCCTCAGGCTCTTTTCTTCAGAGTGAGCCAGCCCTGTTATCTTCGGGGCCTGTGGGCATCTCTGGAAGCTGGAGCTCTCTGGGCCTGGCACTCAGCCCTGGGGCCCCGTTTTCCTAGGCAGGGGGCCTCAGCCTTCCCAAGACCCAGCAGAGTGTCTACAAGTGGGGAAAGAGCCATCTGTTGGATCCAACCTCCCACCCCCAAACCACCTGAGTATTTTGCTCTTGTAGGACTTAGTCTCCTTCCTCCATATTCAGCCCAGGGAGATGGGGAGGACACTGTGGGCTCACCTCTGGCCCTTCACTCCCTCCCTGCTTGCTGTGCTCCCTCAGACCTCCTGAGAGGCCCTCCTCTGTCCCATGGAGTGCCACAGTGTGGTCATTCTGTATCTTCTTGATACTGTAGTTTATATTAATGGTCCAGTCTCAGCCCTTGAAGCTTTACTTTCGGTAAGTAATAGGGAGATTTTGGAAGTCAGAAAACCTTTTCTTTCTTCGTAAAGTCAAATTTTAAACATTCTTGTCTTTCTAGGATTTAATTAAAAATCAATTTGAAAGGGGAGGGCCAGGTGCGATGGCTCACACCTGTAATCCTAGCACTTTGGGAGGCCGAGGCAGGTGGATCACGAGGTCAAGAGATTAAGACCATCTTGGCCAACATAGTGAAACCCCATCTCTACTAAAAATACAAAACTTAGCTGGGTGTGGTGGTGTGCCTGTAGTCCCAGCTACTTGGGAGGCTAAGGCAGGAGAATTGCTTGAACGCGGGAGGCAGAGGTTGCAGTGAGCCAAGATTGCGGCATTGCACTCCAGCCTGGCAACAGAGTGAGACTCCATTTTTAAAAAAAAAAAAAAAAAAAAAAAGACAGAGAAGTAATGACATGTTCAAAAGACATCTCTTTTCCAGGTCTGTAGCTTCAAGATGATTCAGTAGGCCAGGCATGGTGGCTCATGCTTGTAATCCCAAAGCTTTGGGAGGCCAAGGTGGAAGGATTGCTTGAGGACAGGAGTTTGAGATTAGCATGGACATGGCAAGACTCAGTCTCCATAAAAATTTAAAAATTAACTGGGTGTAGTGGAACATGTGTGTTGTCCTAACTACTTGGGAGGCTGAAGTGGGAGGATAGCCAGAGCCTAACAGTTCGAGGCTGCAGTGAGCTGTAATTGCACCATCACATTCTAGCCCACGCAACAGAACAAGACTTTGTCTTTTTAAAAAAAAAAAGACTCAGCAGAGAATTTTGCTTAATTCGAAGAGACCAGATTTTGTTCTCTACTGTAATTCTACAGCAAAGGAATCAGGACTCTGGCAGAAGGCAACCGATGGCTTGTCTGTGTCCTGGGAATTGAGAAAGATCAGAATGGCCCTAGAATATCCTGCTGTTGGACCCAAACAACAGAAGGTTTCAAAAATGTGACACCAAAGAAACTGCTTGGCCAAACTAACAATTGGCAACAATTTATCATAATCTGAGCATCAAATGGGATACTTGTATTATTAAGTTATGAGAAAAGAAATGAGAATATAATGATACCTGAGACAGAAATGTTTATATAAAGTGTACAAAGATAGTATTTAAATAAATTGCAGTAGTGAGGAGAGGCCAAAGTACATCACAGATGGATACGTCTGCTTCTAAGGCTGTGTAAGATGTGTTCTCCATTTGTAAGTGGTAAAGAATAAACACGGAAGTGTGAGCAAGTGAGAGATGGCCAGGAAAAGCCAGGAAGACCTATCAGTGTTGTCAGTCACATAAGGTCCAATACTAGAAAGAGGCTCGAGAGGGCTGCACCATGATGAACCAGGCAAGTCTCCAGGAGAGACCACCTGCCCAGACTGCATTCGTGATTTCTGGGGCATGAGATCTCTAGTTGTCCTAATTAATCAAAATGCATCCTAACCTCGGGTAATAGGCACACCAAAATCTCACAAATCATCACTAAAGAACTTGTAACCAAACACGCTACCTGTTCCCCAATAACCTATGAAAAAAAGCGTCCTAATAAAACAAGCATATGTTTCTTCCTGTCGCTCTTCCTCCTCTTCCTTTTCCCCTTCTCTTTCTTCTTCTCCTTAATTTCTGCTCCTTGTTTTTCAGAATATGTTTGCTGTATCCCTTAAAGGTATCAATATACAAGTTCTATCTCTAAAAAGGTAAAAGAAGTGTAAGGGTGGTGATTAGAAGAGGCCTCCTGGCAGGGTGTGGTGGTTCGTGCCTGTAGGAGGCCTCTTAATCCCAGCACTTTGGGAGGCCCGAGGCAGGTGAATCACTTGAGGTCAGGAGTTCAAGACCAGCCTGGCCAACATGATGAAACGTGGTCTCTACTAAAAATAAAAAAATTAGCTGGGCATAGTGGCACACCTGTAATCCCACCTTCTCAGAAGGCAGAGGCACGAGACTCATTTGAACCTGGGAGGCAGAAGGTGCAGTGAGCCGAGATCATGCCACTGGATTCCAGCCTGGGAGATAGAGTGAGACTCCATCTCAAAAAGAAAAAAAAAAAAAAAAAAAAAAAAGAAAGAGAACTCTCATAGGGTGGTATTTTGAAACCAGTTTAATTTGGGAGGCTGAGGCTGGTGGATCACGAGGTCAACAGATCGAGACCATCCTGGTCAACATGGTGAAACCCTGTCTCTACTAAAAAGTACAAAAAACTAGCTGGGCACAGTGGCGCGTGCCTGTAATCCCAGCTACTCAGGAGGCTGAGGCAGGAGAATTGCCTGAACCCAGGAGGCGGAGGTTGCGGTGAGCCGAGATCGAGCCATTGCACTCCAGCCTGGGTAACAAGAGTGAAACTCCGTCTCAAAAAAAAAAAAAAAAAAAAAAAAAGTTTAAATGTAAATGTGGTCCTTTGTCTTATATATTTGTGGATATTTTGTTTTAGTCGAGATCTTTTTCTTCAAAGGCCAGGAGGTAAATGTTTATGGCTTTACAGGCAATGTGGTTACTGTTACAACCACTCAACTCCTTTTGTGGAGAGAAAGCAGCCATACACTATATGGAAATGATGGTGTGGCTACGAGCTAATCAAACTTTATTTGTCAAATCATGCAGTGAGCCTCTGTTTGCTGACTCCTGGAGTAGAATATCTGAAGTTAGAGATAATTCATCATGATAAAACTATAATTTAGTTTAAGTCATTTAGGAAATGTATTGAATTACGTCTGTAATCAGTGTCCAAACGTTAAAGAAAAATCGGTATCTAAATGTGGTTTATTAAAACTCGTTCTGCTTAATAAAGGCAGTATTTTTAATGACCACACAAAAGCTCTTCTAATATTAAAATAATCTACTGATGTTAACGACAGAGCCGAATCTAAATTCTCAACTCTTTGAACTGGTAAAATAATTCCCATTAAGGTGGTGTGGCAGAGACTAGCTGGCTACTAAGCAAACCCATTTCCTCTTATCTCTGGGCACACACAGCTGGACTACGTTTCCCAGCCTTTCCTAAAATTTGGGTGCCTTGTGCCTGAATTCTAGCCGGTGGAACAGCAGCAAAAATGATTCACATCAATTCAAGACCTAGCTATAAAAACGTCCACTATCCCTCCCAGTCCTCAGGTTGAACTCAGAGCCCCCATGGCTGTAAAGGAGGGCAGAGGCAGAACCTGGAAGGAGCCATCCACTCAGCAGAAACTCTATTTTGTGCTTCCCATGACTGAGCAATCAAATTCAGTTATATACATGTTTCTTTCCTATAAACATGCCTATGATAAAGTTTAATGTACAAATTAGGCATTGGGAGGGATTAATAATAACTAATAATAAAATAGAGCCAATATAACAGTATAGTGTAATAAAAGTTATGTGAATTGTGTCTCTTATCAAAATATCTTATTATATGTAACCTTTTTGGACTGTGGTTGGCTGCACCAGACTGAGAACTTGGAAAGTGAAACCGTGGATAAGGGGACTCCTGTATCTTAACTGTGGCAATGATTGCTAGCATAGGGATTTACTAATAGAATTTATTCTGGAATACTTTGAATGGAGTGGAACTGAGGAAGACAAGAAGGAGATGAAATTTTGACATCCATCTGTACTCCTGCGTGTTTATTGAAGATTTATCTGAGAAAGGGAAGCTACAGCCTCTGTCTTCAAGGACCTTATCCAGGAGGAGGCAGGCAGTTGTGCTAACAAATAACTATAACAAGCCATTTATCTGGGTGCACTGGCTCATGCCTGTAATCCCAGCACTTTGGGAGGCCAAGGTGGGTGGATCACTTGAGGTCAGGAGTTCGAGATCAGCGTTGCCAACATGGTGAAACCCTGCCTCTACCAAAAAAGTAGCCAGGCGTGATGGTGCATACCTGTATAATCCCAGTTACTCGGGAGGTTGAGGTGGGAGAATCACTTGAACCCAGGAGGCAGAGGTTGCAGTGAGCCAAGATCGCACCACTGCACTCCAGCCTGGGCAACTCAGTGAGACTCCATCTCAAACAAAAAATGAAGCATCTAGAGTTCTGTGATAGAAATGTGTCCCTGTGGGTGGGTGGGATAAAGGAGGGTGTTATTAGTTGCAGGAGAGGAGGGAGCAGATTTTTCAAGGGTATACAAGGGTGCTATAACCTGGGGCCAGTTGGGCAGGGGGCAGTTGGGGTGGGGAGGCATATCAGGAGGTGATTCAGAGAAGCAGGTCCCCCTCAGATCCCACCAGGCAGATGGCAAGAGGCAGGCGGTGCAGTCCAGGACTGAACTCTGCATAAACAGATCGGGGTTTGGTATAAATCTATAACTCCAGTGACAATTCCAGCCACCAAAAGAAGAGGCTACACAGTCAGCCAGGCAACAGGACTTGAGTAAGCTTGTGAGGCCCCCCTAAAATAATGGTTGGTTCAGTCATAGTTCTTTCTTCGGCCTCCAGAGGGAGCTCCAATGCTTTCTATACAGGTTCATTCTTCCAGCCCACATGCTGAATTGCTACCATGTGCCAGGTGCAGGCCCTATTGCACTGTCCAGTAGGCCGTGGGAGCAACAGATGCACAAACCTATTATTTAGATTCCACACCCTTTGTTAGTCCATTAGAGACCTACGCCTAGGACACCGCAAGAACTCAGAGGAGGGGTCAGCTACTTGTCCATAATAGGTAAGGATTTCTTCGCCTTTTGGAATTTGTATATCAAGCCCTTGTTCCCTCCACACAATAAAATTCACTCCATGTATTGAGTAGGTACTGAGTGCCAGGCACTTTTTACATCTGAACATATTTGATTTCACTCAATCACCATAATGATCCTCTTTAGAGATGAGTAAATGGAGTTTAGAGAGGTTAGTGGTAAGTGGCAGAGTCAGGATTTGAACCCACGCCTGCCGGCACTGAAGTAAATCCCATGCTTTATGTACTTTGTCCCAGAGCTCCCTCTCATCACACTTTGCTCATCAGGCCTCAAGGCCTTCCTTCCTCCAGACCTGGGCCCATTCCACGGGAGCATTCTGCCATGTCCCTCTGACAACCTTGTAGGATATTGTTGCATATGGTTGTAGTTTTCCATTTGTTACTGTATATTAGTCCATGGTGTGAATATTTCATATGATTTAATGTTTAAAAAGTTCAACTTACCAATTATTTCTTTTGTGTCAGCCAGTTGCTGTCGCTCACACCTGTATTCCCACCACTTTGGGAGGCAGGAGGATCACTTAAGCACAGGAGTTTGAGACCAGCATGGGCAACAAAGTAGGACTCTCTCTCTACACATACACACACACACACACACACACGTTTCTTTTGTGGATCATGCCTTCAGTGTATATCTAAAAAGTTATCACCATAACCAAGGTCATCTAGGTTTTCTCCTATGTTGTCTTCTAGAGGCTTTATAGTTTGGCATTTTACCTTTAGATCTATGATCCATTCTGAGTTAGTTTTGTGAAAGGTGGAAGGTCTGTGCATAGATTCATTTGTTTTGCATGTGGATGTTCAGTTGTTCTAGCACCATTTATTGAAGATTATCTTTTCTTCAATGTATGGCCTTTGCTCCTTTGTCAAAGATCACTTCACTATATTTATCTGGACTCTCTCTTCTGATCCATTGATCTATTTGGCAATTCTTTCATCAATACCACAGTCTTATTGTAGCTTGATAGTAAGTCTTGGTATCAGGTCTGTCAGTCCTCCGACTTTGTATTTCTTCTTCAATACTGTGCCCACTATTCTAGATCTTTTGCCTCTGCATATAAACTTCAGAATTAGTTTACCAATGTCCACAAAATAACTTGATAACATTTTGATTGGGGCTGCATTAAACTAGATCAAGCTGCAGAAGAACTGACATCTTGACAATATCGAATATCTCTCCATAAACATTTAATATGCCTCCATTCACTTAGTTCTTTGATTTCTTTCATCAGAGTTTTGAACTTTTCCTCATAAAAAATTTGGACATAGTTTGTTAGATTTATAATTAAGGAATTCATTTTGGGGGGTGTTAATGGAAATGGTATTATGTTTTCAATTTCAAATTCCACTTGGCATACAGAAAAGTAATTGACTTTTGTATATTAACCTTGTATCCTGGAATCTTGCTATAACTGCTTATTAGTTCCAGAAGTTTTTCATTGACTCTGATTTTCTACATAGAAGACCACATCATCTGCAAACAAAGGTAGCTTTATCTCTTCCTTTCTAATTTGTATTCTTTTTATTTCCTTTTATCATCTCATTGGATTAGCTTTAACTTCCAGTACAATATTGAAAAGGAGTGAAGAGAGAGGGCATCCTTGCTTCGATTCTTGCTTCCTTAGTGAGAAAGCTTTGAGTTTCCCACTGTTACATAAGATGTTAGCTATTGATATTTTGTAGGCATTCTTCACGCAGTTGAGGAAGTTCCCTCTCTATTCCTAGTTTACTGAAGGTTTCTTTTTCTTCAAATCATAAATGGGTGATGAATTTTGTCAAATGCTTTTTCTGCATCTATTAGATCATGTGATTTTCTCTTTTAACATGTTGGTATGATGGGTCACATTGATTGATTTTTAATATTAAATCAGCCTTGTATTCCTGGGACAAATATCACTTGGTTGTGGTGTATAATTCTTTTGAAACCGCCTCTGCAAAAATGATAACAGAAAATTATTACAGTGGAAGAGGTCTGACCTAAGTGATCCCATCTTTCCTCTAACCTCCAACTTGTTCTTGCTCATTCCCGGGTGGAGGCCAAACTGATCTTGGAAGGAACTTAGTTTATAGCTTAACTTTGAAACAAAAAATGATAACAGCCTTCTTCCAAAATAAATCCCTTTCCTGCCTGGGGATGAGACTGCCTTTGCAGGACTAACAAATTAGCCACAAGATTAGAAATTATAGTTTAGGAGTCCTGCTGCTAGAGGTTCCAAGATTCTAAACCTCCCAAATTGCTCCTGGGGATAACATCAATATTACAAAACCTAAGATCAGTACTTCAGATATTTTACAGACCCTGCACTGGATGGATCAGCTGGCACCATTCAGATCGAGAAACTGGCTCATCTGGCTTTGTGGTCCCCACCCAAGAACTGACTCAACACAACAAGACAGCTTTGACTCCCTATGATTCCATCTTTGACTCGACCAATCAGCCCTCTCCACCTCCCGATCCCCTAACCACCAATTTATCCGTAAAAAATCCCGATCCCCTAGTTTTCCGGGAACTGATTTGAATAATAATAAAACTGCTGACGTACAGCTAGCTCTGTGTGAATTAAACTATTGCAATTCCCCTGTCTTAATAAATTGGCTATCTCTAGGCAGTGGGCAAGGAGAACCTGTTTGGCAGTTATTCCTTCCTTTTTCCTTTCCCTTTCCCTTCTTTCCCTTTCCCTTTCCCTTCTTTCCCTTTCCCCTTTCCCCTTTTTCCCCTTTTTCCCCTTTCCTTTCCTTTTTCCTCTCCTTCCTCTCTCCCTCCCTCCCTCCTTTCTTTTTTCCTTTCTCTTTCTTTCTTTCTTTCTTTCTCTCTCATCTCTCTTTCGTCCTCTCTTTCTTTTCTTTCCTTTTCTTTCTTTCGTGTCTTCTGTGGCTGCCCAGGCAGGAGTGCAATGGCAATGAATCTCTTCTTGTCTTTCTTTCTTTATTTCCTTGTCCTTTCTTTCTTTCTATTTCTTTCCGTCCTCTCTTTCCTTTCCTTTCTTTCCTTTCTTTCGGTTTCATTTCCTTCCTTCTTCCTTTCCTTCCTTCCTTCCCTGCCTTCCGTCCTTCCTTCCTTCCTTCTTCCTTCCCTTCCTTCCTTCCTTCTTCCTTCCGTCCTCTCTCTCTCTCTCTCTCTCTCTCTCTCTCTCTCTCTCTCTCTCTCTCTCTCTTTCTTTCTTTCTTTCTGTCTTGTCTTGCTGTGCTGCCCAGGCAGGAGTGCAATGGCATGATCTCAGTTCACTGCAGGCTTAACTTCCCTAGGGTCAAGCCATCCCTCCACCTTAGCCTCCCCGGTAGCTGAGATTAGAGGTGTGCACCACCATACTGGCTAATTTTTGTTTTTTTTTTTTAGTATAGATGGGGTTTTGCCATCTTCCCCAGACTGATTTCAAACTCCTGAGCTCAAGTGATCTGCCCCTCGGTCTTCCAAAGTCAGTTACACGTTTCTGTCAAACTGTTGGATTCAATTTGCTAATATTTTGTTGAAGATTTTGCATCTTTGTTCATGAAAGATACTGGTCTGCTGTTTTCTTTTCTTGCAATGTCTTTGGTTTCAGTGTTAGGGCAGTGCTGACCTCATAGAATGAGATAGGAAGCCTTTGCGCCCTCTTCATGGTGTTTCTCACTGTCATTTAATGTTTGACTTAGGAAAAGTGTTTTTTCTGTTCCTAAACAAGGCCAGGCAAGGTGGGTCATGCCTGTAATCCACCACTTTGAGAGGTCAAAGTGGGCAGATCACCTGAGGTCAGGAGTTCAAGATCAGCCTGACCAACATGGCAAAACCCCATCTCTACTAAAAATACAAAAATTAGCCAGGCATGGTGGTGGGTGCCTGTAATCCAAACTACTTGGGAGGCTGAGGTAGGAGAATCACTTGAACACCAGAGGTGGAGGTTGTGGTGAGCCAAGATTGCACCATTGCACTCCAGCCTGGGCAACAGAGCAAGACTCGTCTCAAAAAAACGAAAAACAAAAAACAGGATCCTGGCAGGCTCTATAGTTTGCCAGTTGTCTCCTATATAGTAAAGTGTCCTTAAATGGAGTAAAAGAAGCCTCACCCACAAAAATACGAATATACAATTTCATCTCTATAGAACCAGCAAAACTCATCAGTGGTAGAAAAAGTCAGAGCAGAATTTGCCTCTAGGACCGTGATGACAGATATTGACTGGGAAGGAGCATGAAGGAACTTTCTGGATTGATAGTAATGTTCTATATCTTGATAGGGATCTGGGTTGTACAAGTATATGCAGTTGTTAAAACATCATATGGTACACCTTTTTGTGTGCATTTTGTGGTATATAAATCTTTCTCTAAAGAAATACTAAGATTATAAATAAATATTGAACTTTGGTTAATAATATACATGCTTCAGTTTTTTGGGGAAGCATACTGACATCTGCAATTTACTTTGAAATTCACAGAAAAATAACTTAGATTGCTGAAGAGATAGAGGGATGATGGATAGGTGGGTTAATATATGATAGTGTAGCCCCATGCAGTGACTCACACTTGTAATACCAGTAATTTAGGAGGTTGAGGCAGGAAGATTGTCTGAGGCCCAGGATTTGAGACCAACCTGGGCAAAATAGCAAAACCTCATCTCTACAAAATGATTAAAAAGAAAACATAACGCAATTCATGTAAAATGCTGTGAGAAAAACTATGTAGTGGACACATGGGTGTTTGCTGTAAAATTTTTCAACTTTTGTGCATGTTGGAAAATTTTCATAATAAAACAGAGAGAAATAACAAATGGAAAGTCCTTTAAAGTTTGGTGTGGCAAAAAGAACGGTCTGTGTCCTGTCCCAGGCCAGGTGGTCTTATTGCTCCATCCTGTGGCTTCTGCAGATCCCTGCCCCGCTGTGATCTTCTGTCTGTCCTGTGGCTTTCTCTGCTGGAAATGGCGTCTTCTGCTCAGAGCCCCAAACACTATTTCTAGCTGACTCATAATTTCTGCCCATGCAAGATCTACAGGTTCCCTTTTAAGCTTTTGAGTCTTGATCACGTGCATCGTTAAGAAGATTGCTTCCTCAGTAGCAATTGGCAGCAATGCCAGCACTGGCTTGGCTCCCCCTAAGCACTACATCAGGTCTGCTCTGCCAAGTGGGAAGTGCTGCTCTGCCCACTGGGCAGAAACAGGGATGATGGGGCTTGTCCTGGCAGGCCCAGCTCCATTCAACACCTCTGCTGGCTCCAGAGGTTTCCAGGTCAACCATTTAACATGTACTACCTTAGTTAATGGAAAACATCTCACCTGCTGCACCCTGGCAGAAGTAGACTTGGAAGTGTAGAGCTGGGACTGAAAAAGAAAATGTGTATGAGAAGAACTCCAAAATACAATAGGAAGGAGGAACCCAGAAATTATGCAAGATGGCCCCGAGGGAGAGACAGATAGAGATAGAAAGAGGGAGACTGTCTCTGAAGCAGGAGAGACCATTAAAGAGAATCACGGAGAAGGCAGCCACCAAACCCTTTTCACTTTCAAGAGAGACTGAAACTGCAAGATATCATTTATCGGCTGAATTATAAAAACAACAATTTTTAAAATGATAATATTTAATGCTAGCAAAGAGTTGTTGAGAGGGTACTTTTAAAAATTTTTAATTAATTAATTTTATTTTATTTTAAAAAATCTAAGATGGAGTCTCTCACTCTGTCGCCCAGGCTGGAGTGCAGTGGTGTGATCTTGGCTCACTGCAACCTCCACCTCCCGGGTTCAAGAAATTCTCCTGCCTCAGCCTCCCGAGTAGCTGGGATTACAGACGCCTGCCACCATGCTCGGCTAAATTTTTGTATTTTTGGTAGAGACGGGGTTTTATTATGTTGGCCAGGCTGGTCTTGAGCTAGCTGGTCTTGAACTCCTGACCTCATGATCTGCCCATGTCAGCCTCCCAAAGTGGTGGGATTATAGGCGCGAGTCATGCTGCGCAGCTGAGAGGGCACTTTTATACATTGCTAGTAAGACGGTTTTTAAAAAATAACTTAACAATATGTATAAAAAGTCATATATTTTTAATCAATAAGTTATATCAAAGGGCATACCTATTCTAGGGGCAAAAAATCAAAATATTTTCAAAATCTATGCATAAAGATATTTAACAAATTCTTATAACAGGAAAAATGAGATATTGCCTATAGGGCACTAATTAAATCATAGTTTAACAATTCGACGTGAAGATTATACAGACATTTTTCATGATATACTTTTAGAGGAGAAAAATCAGGTTATAGAACTTTGTGCACAATATGATTCCCCTTATGTGCTAAATTATTATGAGATAATTTGTTCTCTTTTTTTTATAGTTTTCAGTATTTTCTAAGTTTTCTGCAGTGCGAGCATATTCTTTTTCATACTTGGAAAAATATTTCTTAAAATGCAGCGGTTTGGAGAGTTTGGAGATGGGATGTGAAGATTTCTTTCTGGGGGTTGAGGAGGTGATGTATTTAGAGAAGCTACTGACAAGGCTTTTCAAATGTCTCTTAAAAATCAATTTGTTTAAGGATGAGCTTGTTACATTAAAATTAAAAAGAAAGAAAAAATGAAAAATCAAGTTGCAAATCTTTCTTTTCTTAAAACCTTGTTTTCAGTCTGTCCAAGAACACAGGCAAAATTTGCAAATGTTTTGCTTATACTGTAAAGACAGTGCAAGTCCCAGTTTAGACTCGTACTGATGGAAATGTTGTTTCTGTGGGTAGGAGGAACAAAGCACACTGCTAAAGCAGAGCTCTGCCTGCGCTGGGCTGGGGAGATGCTTCCTGAGAATGTAGTTGCAAGGCAGGACTATGAACTGTCTGGGCAAAACAGCAAAAACCCCATCTCTACAAAATGGTGCTTTTCATTTTTTTTGAGACAGAGTCTTGCTCTGTCGCCCAGGCTGGAATGCAGTAGCACAATCTCAGCTCACTGCCACCTCTGCCTCCTGGGTTCAAGCGATTCTTCTGCCTCAGCTTCCTGAGTAGCTGGGACTACAGATGTGTCTCACCATGCCCAGCTAATCTTTGTATTTTTAGTAGAGATGGGGGTTTCACCATGTTGGCCAGGCTGGACACAAACTCCTGACCTTGTGATCTGCCCATCTCAGCCTCCCAAAGTACTGGGATTACAGGTGTGAGCCACTGTGCCCGGCCCAAAATGTTTTTCTTAAAAAAGATATTGCAGCTAAAGTAAAGAAAATCTATGTAGTGAATACATAAATGTTTGCTGTAAAATTCTTTAAACTTTTATGTATGTTGAAAAAGTTTTCTAACTGTCCATAGTGGCAAAGGTTGCTGTTACTGCTCTCTTGCAACACAGATAGTTTTAGTGACAAATTTCCACCACCCACAGGGAAAGTGAAGGGTCACTGGAAAAGAAGGAGCAGGGGAAAGGGAGCTACCACTTACGGAGTCTTATGAGATGTGTGTATAATGTTGCTGTAGCCAGAAAGTGACAGAAACCTCTCTCACACTAGCATACACACACAAAAAAGAGTTACATTGGTTTAGTTATCTGGAAAAGATACTTTGATTGAAGCTTCATGTGATAATATGAATCTCTGGCAGCTGATATTTTCCAAGAATCACTGCAACAATCTCCCATCCCATGAGCCTTTCCTACAATGTGACTTTGACCTTCCTTCCATGAAGAGATGGGGTATGTGTTCCCTTTTCTTGAATTTGGGTAGGCTTATGACTATGGCAGAAGGGATGCTGTGTGATTTATGAGGTTAGTTTATATAGGTTAAAACACAGATTCTGCCCACTCTCTGGAGATACTCATTTTGGGAACTCAGCCACCATGCTGTGAGGAAGCCCAAGCCACATGGAGAGCCAGGTGTAGGCAGCACCTGGCCAACAGCCAGCATCAATCATCCACTAGACACATGGGCGGGGAGCTCTGTGGGACTCCAGCTTCCACCATCAGCTGCAGCCTCGGGAGCCATCCCGAACAAGACCCACCCAGCTGAGCCCAATTAACTCCAGAGCCATAAAAATAATAATAGGAGATCGATCCAAGATGGCCGACCACTAACAGCTCGGGATTGTAGCTCCCAGTGAAAGCTCAGAGAACGAGACGACGCCACATCTTTAGACGAATTTTCGTCACTCACTGATCAGCCGATTCCCAGTGGAGGAGCCCCACGGGTCGCCAGCACGACTCTTGTGGCCGCTGCAGAGGTTTTGCCGGTGTCTCGGCGCAGCAGCTCTTCACGCAGAGCCAACGGGACTGCTTCCCCTACTGACCGGAGTTTGGAGCTCCTGGAAGTCAGAGCTGCTTGTTGCGGACTCAAGAGGGAAGCCAGACCAGAGATTACCCGGCAGAAGAGCACCATCAGTCTTATCGCTGCTATTTAGGCCGCCACAGTGGGTTGCTCGGATCCCAGCACTGGGAATCAATAACGTCGACTCAGAAACCTAATTAGAAAGGCGGTTCATCTACAATGAAGGGAAAAAAACAGCCTAAGAAGGCCGAGTATACTCAAAAGCAGAACCCATCAGCAACGGAACAAGCCCTGTTGGAAAAGGACTCATCAGCAACCGAACAAGCCCTGATGGAAAAGGACTCATCAGTAACGGAACAAGCCCTGATGGAAAAGGACTGTGTTCCATTATCTGAAGTTGGCTTTAAAAGGTGGATGATAAGAAACTTCTGGGAGTTAAAGGAACTTGTTCTAACCCAACGTAAAGAAACTAAGAACTTGGAAAAAAGGTTAGATGAAATGTTGAAAAGAATAGACAATATAGAGAGGAATACAAATGAACTTATGGAGTTGATAAATACAACACGAGAACTTAGTGAAATATGTACAAGCTTAAACAGCCGAATGGATCAAGCGGAAGAAAGGATATCAGAGGTCGAAGACCAACTTAATGAAACAAAACAACAAGACAAGAATAGAGAAAAAAGGATAAAAAGGAATGAGCAAAGTCTCCAAGCAATATGGGACTATGTGAAAAGACCTAATATACGCTTGGTCGGTGTACCTGAATGTGACGGAGAGAATGAATTCAAGCTGGAAAATACTCTCCAGGACATTATCCAGAGCAAAAATAAATAAAAAGCAGGAGTTGCAATTCTCACACTTAATAAAATAGATTTCAAAGCTACAAGGATGCAAGGGTAAAAGGATTAATGTAACAATAAGAGATCTTAATACCCAGATACATAAGACACATAATGAGATTTAGATTCAACGAGACAACAAATTGATAACAATATCCAGGACTTGAACTCAGAGCCAGAACAAATAAACACAATAGAGGTCTCCATTTTAAACAGATAAAATATGCATTAACCACTTTAAACACTCAAAATATTGGTCGGCCATTATTGAAACTCATTTTAGGAATGAAGTAATATTCCTTTTTCCCTCTTTTTCTTTTTTTCCCCTTCTTTTTCTCTTTTTCCCTCTTAAAAAAAAAAAAAACCACTGAAAGTCTTTTTCACCTTAGGACTAATTTGTTACTTAATCTCTAGGTTACTAAATAGTCATCATGAGGCAGTAGGGCATGTGGGAGTCAGATAGACTTGGGCTTGAACACGATCCTGCTACATATCACTGCTGAACCTCCATTTTTTTTTGAGACAGGGTCTTAAAACTGTTGCCCAGGAGGGAGTGCGGTGGTGCAATCATGGCTCACTGCAGCCTCAACCTACTGGGCTCAGTCCTCCCACCTCAGCCTCCCAAGTAGCTTAGACCACAGTCATGTGTCACCACACCCAGATAATTTTATTTTTTTAGAAACAGGGATCTTCTTCCTGTGTTGGTCGTTCTTGTCTAGAACTCCGGGCCTCAAATAATCCTTGCACCTCGGCCTCCCAAAGTGCTAGGATTACAGGTGTGAGCCACCACACCTAGCCTGAACCTCAATTTTTTTTTTTGAGACAGTCTCTGTCGCCCAGCCAGGAATGCAGTGGCACGATCTCAGCTCACTGTAACCTCCTCCTCCCAGGTTCAAACGATTCTCCTGCCTCAGCCTCCCAAATAGCTGGGACTATAGGCACATACTACCATGCCCAGCTAATTTTTGTAGTTTTAGTAGAGATGGGGTTTCACCACACTGGCCAGGCCAGTCTTGAACTCCTGACCTCGTGATTAAAAAAAAAAAAGAAAAAAAAAATAATAAAGTGACTGTTGTTATTTTAAGCCACTAATTTCTGAGGTGACTTGTTACACAAAAATAGAGAACTAGAACCAACTCTGTCTCTTAGCTCTTCCTCTGTTGTTGAATTCATTCTCTCCTGGTGGGTGGCAGGGTGGAGGGAGTGGCTAAGGAAGTGCCAAGCTTGTGTCAGTCCCACTAGTATTTCCAACAGAAAGAGAGTTTTCTTCTCCCATCCAAGTATTAACCAGGCCTGACCCTGCTTAGCTTCCAAGATCAGATGCTATCAGGCGCGTTCAGGGTGGTATGGCCGTAGATGAGTGCTTTCT